AAGATATGTTTTTATATGTCCTTGTCTACTGACACTTTTAGACCATTTTATCGGGCCTCAGGGTAACTTACCCAGTTATCCAAATCCCTGGTAGTCCTGGTTAGCAAGCTATAGATTCCTAAATTTTCTACTCGACAAACAAGTCAGCATCGCTACTGGTATGGAAGCTCCTACACCCAATCTCTTCAATCAAAATAAAGATGAATTTACGCTTATTGTTCTGATTTGCCAGAAACAGCTTGTTTAATTGTAACAGAGCACCATGTCGCCAATGAAATTAATATCACAGCCAACATAACCATTTTTTATCTAAGGTGCGTGGAACCCGTTTTATTTGGTATCAAAAAAAAGACAGTTGCACTCTTATATCTTTATGACGCATACTCCACATACAGGTGAATAAGGTTATTGTATAATTATTTATAAGAACTACTACGTGATTAAGCAGGGCGCTACTATTAAGAACACGTAGGACTTGTTCTCCGTGGAATCTGGCAAGCTAGATTTTAAATGAACTGGCCTGGTGTAATCAGCCAATGCAGCCTTGTTTGCTCCTCGTTGGAGTCCAAGGCTTATGGAACACTACAGAATTCATATCCGTCATGTTTTAAGTGATGCGACAGTGACCACGCTCTGACATAGCAGCTGGGGGTCTATATGAATAACGTCGTAATAAAATTTTATTGTAATTTGCTAGCAAGTGCTATTGCTTGCACTTTTTTAAAAATAATATTTCATGGTGTTCTTGTTGTTCCTGCCTGTAAGATTTTTGTGTTCGATTACTTTAGAGTCATCAATATTTACTATTCTAATAAACATGCAAAATACAAGCAAAACATTAACCTGATATTGATTTTAACATTATATAATGCTGAGGAACAGTAAAGGACCTATTGGTCCAACTAGTCTGTTTTATCCTTTAAACTAAACTAAATCTATTGATTAAATAAACAAAAACAAACAACAACTGAAATCCAGCCCTTTTCATTCATAAAATTATAAAGCTTTCCCTTAAAGTTACTGCCTCTATAACGTCCGAAGGCAACTCGTTCCAAAGGCCAACCACTCTGTTAGAAAAATATAACTCTTAGCTGAAGATGACTCCAACCCTGCCAAATGTTATATTTATGTCTTCTAGTCCTACTATTCTCACCTTTAAATATGAAGAAAGATGATGCATGAACACTATCAATTCCCTTAACAATCTTAAACACCTCAATCAGATCCCCTGTAACTCTTCTTTTTTCAAGAGAAAACAGTAACCTCTCCTCGTATGACAACCCTTCCATCCAGGTACCATTCTAGTGCCCCTCCTCTGAACCCTTTCCAACAATTCAATGTCATTCCTTAGGTGCAAAGCCCAGGACTGAACACAATACCCCAAATGTGGCCTAACTAGTGACCTATACAATGAAATTATAACCTCTTTAGATTTGTATTCAGTATTTCTTTAGATACAACCTAAAATCCTATTTGCCCTATATACCACTAGCAACAACTTTAGAGGCTGATCAAACACTACACCAGTATCCCTTTCTTTCATAACACTGTTAAGGTTATTCCCATTCACATTTTTCTTGGCACCTTGTAAAATGCTTTCTGGAAATTCAGATACACCATATCCACACATTTATCCATATATGCATAAACAGTAACATCTTCAAAGAATATCAACAGGTTATTAAGTCAGTCATTTTCATTATCCAACAAAATTTAAACTATTCTATCAAATCAGCTAACTTATCCTCCACATCTATAGAAATAATGCTTTTTACAGACCTTTTATGTGGCACCTTGTCAAATGTTTTCTGAAATTTTAGATACATCAAATTTGCACCCTTATCCTCATCTACGTAATTCCATCACTGAAATTAATTGAAGCATTTGCTTGCAACATTTTGGATGTTGAGTTGCAAACTCCTCGCAAAATCCAATTTCAAGAAAGAGGAGACAATCATGGACAAAATGGCAAATGCATTTATTGTTTGTACGATAATCAAGACACACAGTAGAGTGTCGTGTGGCCAAAACATCCTGCAGGACACACTGTGTGTTATTTACAGGAGTGATAGTTTAAGTGATATTCCTCCTTCTGTAGCTCTGACTTTGGTAATCTAAACTACAACATATCTTCAATGGACATGCTCTACTGAAACCTTACTTCTCATATGAAATATCAAGGCACTCCATTAAGAAATACACGAGATATAAAACCTCCAATTTTAATTGATTTTTTCTTTTTTTCTTCACACTGAAAGTACGGAAACTTTATTTGATAGAAAAACATACTTAATTTTTATGGATTATTTTCCACCTTTGTCAAATTTGGTGTAAATATGAGTCACGTGCGCAATCGGCCTGAATTTTTTGCTACAGCTTCACCTAAGAGTAAAAGTGGACCGTTTTTCGTTTTTGTTTTGTTTTTTTGTGAATTCGATTAAAGACGGCAGATTTAAAGCAGCAAAACTTTAGGGTAAAAGGACATGACAGTACATAAGCATTGGTTTGGCCAAGCAAACTCGATTAGAAGTCTCTAGCTCAAGTTTGAATGGTTGTTTTTGACTATTCATTGCCAACTTTTCAGCATAAATTTACTAAATTTTATGAAATTATTCTATTTAAAGAGCGTTTAGCGTCGCGTGATATTGGTTCAGCAATTGATATAATTAATGATGCTTGATACGGCTGTACCCAGTGCATGCGGGTGATGACCAAAAGTGTTAATCTAGATTTGGCGTTACTATTTTAGAGTGGCAAACTATCACTATATATTTTAAAGAATCTGGTTGGTTCTGTGAAGTATAAGTCTGTTCCGAATAATGGAGTTGCGATCCTAAAGCTAATGTTAGTTACTATCGAGTTTCACTTTCTTACTTGCTGTGGTTTGTTGATGTGTATTGACTAAAAGTCATGATATCTAATCAAAAATACCTTAGGTGTGAAAAAAAAAAGCTGCTGCCCAAAAAGATTGTGCATGTGACTTAAAGGAATGAAATCCAAATTGAGGACCAAACTGGTAGCTGCACTTATAGCATTGATAAGAATTTTACAGCTAATATTCATTCATTAGTTAGTTAGGCCGCGTATTTTGTTTTACCGACCATCATGCCCAAAGTTGAATAAACAAACGCTGAATTTCTAACTAATGAATAAATATTTGCTGTAAAATTCTTATTAATGCTCTAAGTGTAGCTACCAGTTTGGTCGCCAATTTTGATCATTCCTTTTAGTTGCACGCTTTATCCTTTATGGCCGTACCTTTTTTTTTTTTACACCTAAGATGTTTTTGGTTAAATTTTATCTTCCAGAGTATCGGGTGTTATGTGATGTTTCAGTAAATATATTTTCATGTTCTTTTATATGTTTTTAAGCATCCTTTCCTAAATCGAGAACTATTAGATGTTTTTTTATTGCTATTTGTTTAATGTAAATTTTCAGATTTATTGGACAATATCATAAATTAGCTTTATTTAACGTCAATATTTTACAACGTGCCACTTCCTGTTTGAGACAAAGAGTGGTTTCGCTTTTAGTTTTCGAGTCGCAAAGTTAACGTTTGGTATACTTATTTAAGTTATTATGCAAAAGAAGCTATGTATCTTATTTTAACTTTCAGTACCCTTTAAAGTCGTTGAATTGCAATTTTATAATCAAATGAAACTTGAAATTGCAAGACCTAGGCCTAATTCATATTCCATGTAATAAATAACAACAATTCATATATCTGTATAATAGGAGTTGTAAATTTTTTAATGTATCACTATCTCCAGCCGAACAAGCTGGCTGTTGTTTTTTTTAAGTTGTAGACCTAACGAGCAATGTTAGGGTTAAGCAACTTGGGCGTGACTGAATTTATCAATCTTTAGACTTTAGCCTTAGCTTAGGACTGTGCGAGGTAAATTCTAAATTATAAATACTACATTAAAGTAGAAATAAAATGGAATTCCCAAGGGTATTCAAATGGATTTTATTTGTGATACTGGTAGTGTTATGTAGCACTTGTTTGCTTGATGCTATTTGTTTGAATGGAATACAACTAGAAGTCAACGAAAACAAAAGCTATGTACCTGACCAAATGTATGAAATTGAGAACGAACTAAATCGAGGATTTGCAGATTTAAGTTTGACGAGTTCTGGCATTTCAAACAAGCCAGAACATCATCTCATCAAACGTGAGAGAAAATTAGATTATAGTAGTACTACCATTAATATTAAAGAAAACAGCACAAATCAGGTACCTAATAATAATAATAGTACTAATAGTAGTTTAAGTAAATCAACAATTACACAATCTGCCACAAAGTCTGAAAATTTTGTCAGATTGTCTAGTGCTAAGGGTCAGAATGAGTTGAAAGAATTGAGGACTGAAGAAGAGCAAGAGTTGACTTTTGTTACAGATATCACTGTTAATTATATTGCAAAGACAACTAGCAAAGGTATTTCTGATGACTCATTGGAAACAAAAAATGCATCTAAGAATTCCTATTTTGAGACATTTTTACATTTCCAAGATTCCTATGGAGCATTGACTCGAACTATGTATGTAGTTGTAGCCGGGATGATGATTGTGATACTATATTTTGTTATAAGAATGGTGAGGTAAGAATTGGGAAGATATTTTAAATGAATATTATTTAGTACTCAGTGTGTTTTGATAATAGAAATCAAAGAAATATGCTGATTTTTACAATTGCTGATGGCAACCATTTCCATAAGATAATCACCCTGTCAAAAAATAAAACATTCAACTGGAGACTACCATGTCTTTTTTCTAAATCATAAACTTTTATCTTTTCTTCCTGTTATATAAAGAATATAACACAAAGAAACCAGAAGCTTTTATACTATCATTACCACAGATAATCTTATGAACTTCATTAAGATTATCTCTTCATTTTTTTGAAATAAAGTTTGAGAACTTAATCTGTCCTTATAAACTAACTTCCCTCCCAGGAGTCATTGTAATAGCTTTTCTCAGAACCCTTTTTCATAAGACAACATTCTTTTCAACTCTTAAAATGAGGCCAAAACTGCACACACTATTCATCCAAGTGAGACCTGAACAGGGATTTCTTTAAGGAAATAATTACCTCTTTCAATTTTTAGATGCAATACTACTATTGCTAGTCAGTATTTGTATCAATTAATAGGGGATATTAGTGTTAGATTACTTTAATATAGTTAGAAGTTGTACAAGTAGAATGTAATTTATAGGGTGCAATAGGTGCTATGATGTATTGGCTTATTGGATTGATAAAAGGCTAGAGGGAAGAAAGCAATTGGTTGTTATAAGTAGAGTTCACTTAAAGGGGATTAATGCTGCAAATGGATATCTCGGAACTGAGTGTTGGGAACTTTGTTCTTTTTTATACTTGGGTGTTGCTTGCCGTTAGAAGGATGTCACTGCTTTAAAAAAGGATTTCTATAACTTGTAAAGAACAAGCATGAAGACTTAAAGGACAGTTGTCACATTAGTGAGTGTTGGTCCTACAGGAAAGCCCATAGCAATGCTATCTATCTCCTTATATATAGTATTGTTAAAAATGAAAAGACAATCTTTAGTTGAAAGCTCAATCATAGATTTGAAATCAGAATTAGAAAGCCAATTGATAAGAAAGTTTTTAGCAAAGAGATTAGAAAGTGCAATATTAATAGTTTAGTCCAGGAGAGTATTAATAAAAAGAGAAGTAATATTGAAACTAGCCATTAGGTGAATTTTAAGGAGAGGGAGTTGACTAATTCCTATATAATTTGATAAGTTTGACAAATAAATGGCAAATGACTTTTAATTATAATAAATGCAAGGTAATTTGTGTTGACTATTATAATTTAAATTATTGGTATAATTTTGATGAGATATTCTTATTCATAGAGCTAGGCCATTAGTGGAATTTGTTAATCATTTAACCATCAAGTTTATTAAGCAATTACAGTCGACTACTATATTATTCTCACAAGACTTGGATTGTTGAAAATGTCAAAAATAGTAATAATCAGAAAGACTAATTTTGATCAGTTAATTATTTTTGAGTCGTAACACTAATCAATTAAGCTGACAACTTTGAGATAAAAAGAAATATTAATGAGAAATCATAATTTTGATTACTTAAGTTGCTAGAATAATCGGAAACACTAGTTTTGATTAATTGATTATTTTTGTGACATTATTTAATATTATTTTGATTAATCAATTACTTTATGTGATACTGAGCGATATAATAGATGCTCATAGGTAATTGATTTAATTGCTCAGCTCTAAACTTTAACAGTGTTATGGAAGAAATGGATCTTGATGTTTTTCTGTTGATCAGTCTCTTAAGCTATCCAAACAGTTTACTATTGCTAGTGGTAAGGCAAAAAGGACTTAATGTTGTATTTACAGAAATTTTAATTGATTTTCATAAGAGGGTGGTTGACCTATATAATGGTTTGCCTTCAGATATAGTGTATGCAGTAAATTTGAGTAAGTTTAATGGAACCATCAATTTTTAAATGATGAGAGCTAGATTTGAGTTTGTTTTTTTTTATATGAGTGTATGAATGTTAGGACAACATGACACAAATTTTGGCTGGGTAGGAGACATCTTTAGCTGAGACAGATGTTCCAATCAACCCCTTGTTGTCCCTTAAATATTATATTACGGAGACAAAAAATGTTTATATCGGGCAGCACAGTAGTGATGCCTATGTAGGGATGGGTCTGGTTCTCATTTTTCTTTCTTCCTTTTCATCAGTTGTAACTCATTAACAACACAAGAAGCCTAATTCAGAGAAATATAGTTCTTGGCCAGGTAAGTATGTGAATGCGAAACCACAGTTTCAAATACATAAATCTCACAAACAAAATACTAATTATTGTACAACAGACAACAAATGGAAAACATTTACAGTACTAATACATGCTAAATTTACATGATTTATTTCAAGGCAACTGTATACCCACTAGTTGTAAATTGGTTTTAAAACAATCACAGTGAATGCTAAACCCATCTTCTGCCATTTGGCAGTAACCAGCGAACAATTGTTAAAACCAAAAACAGGGTGTATGTTCAAACTGACTGGACCAATAAAGATCAGCAATACATCAAATGATAGCTCTCTTCATGCTCTACTTTGGTCTAGGTAGTTTCATTAGATCCAGAAGCATTTACTGTTTGAAAATAAACAAAACTTTAAAACTATTTAAAATTCTTTTTAACCCTTGAATTTGTAGGAACAAAGTCACACAAAATTTTGTAGTGTAGATTACATAATAAATAAACTGATACATAAATATGTCTGCCCAAGTCAAACCAACAGCATGTCAAAAAATAATGAATGGCAATTGAAAACAGACTACATGTTGGCATGGCAACAAATTGCTCTACTTCATGTCATTAGGCATAAGCAGACAACGTTTTCCTTACAACAGTGTGCTGTATGTCATATCGTTGGGTGTGGCTAGAGTCAAAGAACATGTGCTGCAATAGTTTAAGAAAGAAAAAAACACTTGATACAATGGTAATAAAATGTAGGAAAACTAATTTGCTACAATAGTCTATGATAAAAGTCATATGAATGATGTATCCATTACATCATGACATGACATAGAATGGATTGAAGTTACTACAGGTGTGTATCTGTCAATCATGGTATTTCAAGTTTACAACCAATATGATTACAAAATCTCTCCTGTACTTTCATAGGTACATTGGTTAGCTCATGCTTCATTATTAACATTTTATTATTGACAATTTTCATTTCATTTATCCATATAATATGAATCCTTGTGTATGAGTTTAAAATTGGTGGACTTTATTGAGACTACATTTTATCTTGGCTTGATATGGATATCACATAATATCATGTTACCTGGTAAAGCAATAATTTGATATCAATCACTATCATTGTTAACATTGTTCAAGTTGGAAAGTCATGAGGAACGAAAGGTCAATTTACAGGTATGATTTTTAATTGTTTTTCATTTTTAACTACTAGTGTAAATCTACTAATTTGTGACTGTGGAATCCAATGGCTTGTGAATTTTTTGTTTTCGTTATTTATAATTACTGAAACCTTATAATGCAAGGCTTAAATAAGAGGTTATCGGATTTAGGATGTGCTTAGAGTACAAATAAACTGATTAGACCTATTGGATAGTTTTCAGAGTAAGAGTGAATTACATGCTAGAGATCAGTGTATGTAAGCAAACTAGGTAATAGGGTGTATGAGGAAACTCAACATATTTGTTAAAAGTGTTTAAATTATAAGAGTGATAAAGGAGCTTGGAAACTTGGAAATAAACAAATTAATAGGATAGTTAGGATGATAAGTTTAAAAATAGGATATTTAGAGTACAAGTTAAATAACCCTCCCTCCAAGGGCATCTTTTTCTGTGCATGTCATGAGGTTTTAGTGAGGTACATTCAAAATTTAATCCAACTTGTAAGTGTTAGGTTCTTACTTTTATAAGGCAATATTTTAACATAAATTACTCATTATAATATCATCATTACTCAGGCAAAGCATAATTTTCATAGTCTTCAATCTTATTTATTTACAGAGCCAATAAATAGACAATCAGACCCCTTTTGTCACATCCTCTTTTTCAGAAATTGCCAATAGTTCTCTCTGACATTCAATACTATATTATTAAAAACTAATAGAAAGCCAAGATTTGAATCTTTGAAATGAAAAGTTATATTTTATTGCCTGCTGCAAAGAGAATTGTCAATTTCGCTTTCAGTTCAAGCTTGATTCCCAAGGGAAACGCATTGGGTAATGGTAATTTCGAGATTTTTCTTCTTTTTTTTTCTTTTTGGTGGTTACGAGGTAGTAAATTTGACCAACCTGGTATAAAGTTAGGGTAGAGAAAATATCAGATAAACTATAAAGTTTTACTGAAAACAAAGGTTTTAAATTATTTAGGACACTAGAGATTATGCAAATATAATTTGAGACTTTTAAGATGAAGAAAGGTATTTTTAATCTTAACATGGAAATCACTTTGCACTCAGACTAATATATATACATTATATATATATTGGAAAAATCTTAAGTAAAAATATTTCATTAAAAAATCCGATTTATAGGTAAAAAAGACAATGTTTACTAAAAGTCTGCTAAAGTTTGTGAAGATACACAAAGTGTATTAAAAGTTATTGTTTGGAAACTATAATGTGTAAAAAAATGGTTACAAAGTTGGTCAGAACGACTGACTTTATAGCAAGAGATATAATAGGTCTAAAGATAAGTGTTAAGTTTAAAGATAAACACAGTAGATTAAAAAAAACTTAGTCGCTGTTATTATTATGCTAGTTTGTCATGAACAAAATGGATTGATTCAGGGATTTGATTGAAATGGCAGGCTACAGTATAATAGGATTTACTGAAATGTTATTAGATAAAAGAAATGATTTTGAACTTCCAGGTTATAAGTTATTTAATAATGGATATTATGATGAGGGCTCTACCTAAAGGAAGAACTGCAGCCTTTTAGAACAGAAAACAAAAAATTGGTAAGCAAGAAATTGTATTGAATCAGTAGGGTCTACAATCCACCAAACTAAACATTAAAAAGTAATAACAAAACTCAGCTCTTATCAATTAATTATTTATCA